GAGAAACTGGCTACATCGAAGCACGGCACAGCTATCGGGGCTAGAATAGCTGTTTTTGCAATTGGTTGGAGTTTTCCTCGTAGGGAGCAACCCCGTACATTCCGTGCACCAATTTTGTGAATTTTTTGTCGTTTTACGATCTAGGAGTATTTGTGGGTTTCGTAATCAGTTTGTGGGTTTCGTAATCAGTTTGTGGGCATGGGCCGAATGGGTGATTAGCCCATATCTCTACCACTTGGGTTACCGCTGATTAACGTCAGCGGGACTGAGTCCCACTATCCAGGAGGCACGCCGAATGAGTCTGGTTTTGCCTCCTTCACATAAATTTTAGATGGATTTATTGCCGAAGTATTAAGTCTTTTTAAAAAAATTAGTATTTAGTAAGTATACAATATTTCTCAGCAGTGCGCATTCATGACCCCACACTCTAGACTCGAACCCAGGACCTTCGGTCTCACGCGTGAATGTCTAATCTCTAAACCACTTAGCCGGCATCCAGTGGTGTTACTGTTTAACTTCATTCGATCCATGTCCCTGTGTAACCCTTCATCCATTGTCTCAAGGGGATAACTGTGTCATATCTGACAAGGATTGGACTCCAGTGGTCACAGTTTCTTACTAGAAGTCCAGGTTTTCAATGGTGGTCTAACTTAGATCGACTCGCGAAATCAACTGTGAAAGTTCTACAATCTCCATAAATCCCCATACTGATGAATATATGATGCGCACTTATTTTGTATTGTACGCATCTAACGTCATAGGCTAGCTAATTAAAATGTATATATTATTCACTGATAAGTATCAAATTCTTTTTTGCATATTTCATATATATATATATATATATATATATATATATATATCACATTTTCTTGATCCTTCCCAAATTTGTTGTAAAATGATAATTTCATTTTTTTGTTGTTGTTTACACTTAACTAACTACTGAAACATACAATTAAATTCATGTATAATGTAAACAAATAAAGAATGAAATTAATTACAGCATACAATGGAATTCACATTGTACTTTATTGTTTTCTCTCTACAGCTTAAAACATACAAATTAACTAAGCTTGATTAATTTCGAAATTTTTCAATGTATTTTTGAATTTGAGCGGGTAAATATGAATTGTCCATCAATAATGTATAACTTAGTTATAAGGGAAATGAAGTTTGGAATTTCAAGTTTTAACAGTTTTTATTTTGGAAAAATATGATTGACTAAAGCTTAAAAATCATTTTCTTCTTTCCTAATTATTATGGTTTAATATCTAAGTATGGAAATGACCGAAACAGTATGTAATCAGTATTTCATATTTGTTGAATTAGAAATATGTACTGCTATTATTATTAATACTATCATAAAGGAATAAGGACGTTACTAATTGGGAAGAGGGGGGGTGCATTCCAACAGTAGTTCAGTTAAAATGTACTTGCGCCTATTTTTCTTATGACTTGATACAGTATTATATTGGATTATAGAAATTTATAAAATGTCCATCTTTAGTAAAAATTTTTCTTTTGTTTATGCGAATGTGACGCTTTTATTTTATTCAATGGTAAGGAAGTATTTAATTGTAATTGAATTATAAAAATGATTTGAGCATTAATATCCAATAGAGTTGAATTCAATTATAAGTTTATGATAATCGAAAGTAAAAAGGTATTATGTATTTCATTTCTTCTTTTTCTTAAAGAAAAAGAAACCAGACTTAATTGACATCTTCAACCGTGGATCATTTTGATTTTTTATCAATAAAGTATGATCAAATTCAAGCGTAGTATTTCTTTGAAATTTATTTCAATTTTGTTCAAATTTATATGTTTGTATCGTTCTGATCCTTTTCTATATTATTTGCATATGACAAAGACATATGTCTATTACAAATTCATAGTAGCTAGAGGATTGTTAATAGTTAGGTGTTGGAATGCCTTTTATAAACTTTTTAAAAGTTTACCATTGAATTGAGCACTTATTATTTATCGTCATATTATCATTGTAGGTACTTTTCGTTCTGTATCCCTGATATTTATTTATCTTCACAGTCCAAATGTTTTATGGCTTATCGTCTTGCTTTCAGACAAAAATATTAGATTTGTTAAACTTTTAAGCCAATAATCGCGTTTGGTCCACTATGTAGATAAACTGCGTTCAGTATATTTTTTCTTAACTGTTTTGTGTAGTTATAAAATGAAGTGCTTAACGTGCAACTCTTAATTAATATCCCACAATATCTATATTTCATTAGTACATGCAAGATATACAACTCAGAGCTTATTCTACAAAGATATATTCATTTTTAGAACTTTACACCTCATTTAGTAAGTGTAACCCATAAGTCTTTGAAGTGGGTTGAAATCACTGCTTATTTAATGTATTTATTTCAGATTCTTATCTCAAAATCCCTCATATAAGAGAAGCAGTGGCTTAGTCCTTGCAGCATTAAACTATTCTAGTCTGAGGTCCAAACTTCACTTACTCTGGTTGAGGCAACTGGATGACTTCACAAGTCCTTACATAGAATACTGTCTTCAAGCCAAGTACACAATCACCTACACTTGGTTATAAAGTTTCCCGTTAATTATTCATCAACTCGTACAACTGATTAGTATCCTTAACTCTTGTTTAATAATCAATCACACGTAAAAGTAGTGTAGATAATCAGTCGATATCTGGGTTTTTTTTTCAAACCTCCCTGTTTTTTCATACTTCTCCAGCATTTCAAATAAAATTTATCGGATTAGTTTTATTAAGTTCATATTTATTGAAGCGAAACTGTTTGTTAAGTGTTGAAATGCTTGTATTGTGCTACTCTATGTGCGATTAGGAATAAATGTGACCTCTAAAACTATTGTTTGTCAATATGGGAGTTGAGAAGATTGTGGAATCTTATTGGAATCACCAACCGATCTAGGTCAGGCAACTACTAGAAACCTAGAATCACTGAACAACTGTTTCGTCCTAGCGTGACTTCCCAACAGTGCACCTCTACGACCTCACCACATAAAATAAAACTGAACATTTCCATTCTTTAATTTCATTCATTAATAGTATGGAATGAATGATAGATCGGTTTAATCTTTGTTGTTGTTATTATCTATATTGTAATAAAGCAGTGTAATCATATTATTATGTATTTGAAGATCTTAAATACATTATAAACTAATCATTTTTCTATACTATAACGTTTTGATCAGATATTTCATTTGCGTTACTTAAATCTAATTTAATCTATCAATTTTGTATTGAGGCACATCTATACTGTATAAAATGTCACTGAAATTCACTGAAACTAGACTAACGGTTTTTCATCCCTACAAGTAAATGAAGTCCTCAATTTAAATTACAGCTTTCAATTTTGTCCGATGTATCCTGGTTTTAAATGCTGGGTATTAGTACAAGTCCTTTTAAATCCAAATATACACAAGTCTTATTTTGGTTATTGAGTTTCATTGTATTAGCGTTTATACTGAAAGCGTTAGGTCATATGTAGGTAAAGTTTAGTGATTTCGAGATTCAATGTTCAACTAATTAATTGTTTATTTAAACTAATTATCATTTACTAAAAGCTTTATTATTCAAATAAAATCACTTATAATTTAACAGTAGATGTTTTCTATGCCCTGTTAAATGAACTTGTCCATTATCCATTTAGTTGCGTAATAACATTCTGCACTGTTATTAAATCTTTCAAATAGAAACAATCCATTAGATATCGGATTCTTTAAACATATAATAATATATCGTCTAAGCTTCGAAATTTGACATCAATGTTCTTTAATATATCTTCTATGTATATATTACATTCTTCTCATGGATAAATGTTCTGTTTACTTAAGGATTATTAGTTATTAATTCACTTACTTCCCTTTAATATATCTGTCATTAATCTGAATAAGGTTCAGGGAAAAGAAAGTTGGGAATTGTTAATTGAAGAAATAATTCTTTTCATAAATGTAAGTAGCCGATCTTTAATCTTTCTTCTTAATACACTATTAAAATAATTTAAATATTTTCTTGTAGACTAGATTACTTCACTACAATAATACATCTAGTCAGTATTCAATTTTTTGTTGTTGGATTTTACGGTGTTGAATGTTATGAAAAAAAGATGTATTATTTGTGCAGCGTTAGTACTATTGTTTTATTCACCAATAGATTTTTGTTCTACATACAAAAGCGTATGTGAGTTTTCTCCTCTCTCTCTCTCTCTCTCTCTCGTTGGCTGTTCATAATAATCGATATAATACATTTATAGCTCTCTACTCTGATTTATACAATGCTATGTATGTCGTAAGAAAACCATATCGACCCAAAACTAACCATTTTCTTTCCAAAAAAAACTATTCTTATTTTCTCAGTGTATTTGTGTTCAAGTAGTTTTGCTTAGTCCACTCCAGTTTAGGTAAATACATAGCTTCACAAGTACTTACATAAAATAATCCGTCTTCAAATACACAATCTTTTGCACATATTTATAAAGTTCCACATCCAATATTCATTCTATTGTTGCAATTTAATTGAGTATGGTCAGTACTCGTAAAATAATCAATTCCACAGATAAAATCACTGTAGATAATCAGTTGATACACTTGGTTGTTCTATCTTTATTTGTATTGCTTTGATGAATAATTGATTTCAGAACATCTATGGCTTTTCTGTATTTTCTCTTGTTTAAACCGTACGGTAACATTTAAAGGTGTGTTGTAAGAAAATAATGCTAACCTAGCACACTGTTTTGCATTTTCCACATTCTCTTGGTGTATCGTATGTGTGTGTGTGTTACATATACATTAAAAAATACACGGTGAAATTATCAATTACACATGTAGTCTTTTTATTTTGTTATCTAAGCTTTCAGTAATATCCCTGTGCTTTTTTTCCAATTTTTTTCATTGGATATAACAAGCAAATTGCATTCCATGTACATTCTTGTTTTTTTCTCTCTTCTATTTTCATTTCTTTTGTTTGTTTTTAAACAAAAACAAATCAATCATTTTAGGATCTAGTCGTGGTTCATCTCTTACAATGGCTAGTTCAACAACAAATGATTCATTGCCTAGTTCAAATGGTAGTCCAGCGTTGACAAGTTATAACGCGAATCAAAATAGTACACAAAGATCATTTTCATCAAATCCGAATCCAATGACCAGCAATGAACAACAAATATTAGAGGTTAGTTAACAATCTTCCACTAATATTGTTGCGTTTTTGTTTAACATTTAAGTAGGTGGATGGCATTTCAAACTTGAAAATAATACATTTTGAACTGACTCAAAAGTTGATTATTCAAATATAGTACAATATTTAATTCATTTGTTTGTATATCCTTTTTTTATCATCGTAACACAATAATTATAAATTTATAACCTTAAAGCCCCCTGGTGATGAAGTTATTGAAAACAATTATCCACTCATATATTCCTTATTTCTAAATATTCTACAAAGAATATTAAATCCTGTAAATTGATTCATTTGATAAACTACAAATCTATTGATGAAGATTTGAGAAGCACTTCATATTATTTTTCTAAATGTATTGAGCACTTAGTAGTGACCAATGTCATATATGTCCAATCCTTCGTAATTCTAGTCGAATTCTATCGATCAAGTGGCATTGTGGCTTAACTTTCATTTCAGTCATACAGGGGTTTTATTGCGGCTCGAATAGCACAGTGGTAACGTCTCTGAGTGGGAAACTGTGTGATACGGGATTGAATCCGGCAGGTAGCATCAGTTCCCTCAAGATTACATCTATACCTTCCTGACTAGTATCAAATAGCACGAAGCCCAGGTCAAGTAGGGTATCCTGTCAACTACCTCCATCCACCACCACTTTGTTTTTTCATATTTGGAAATTTTGCAAATGTAAAACACTCAAACTCTGTTACTTCTGTATATTTAATCGTTTTTACAGCTTTCAATAACTTTTACAACATAAGGACTGATTTACGATTAGATCATTTGCAATGTTTTTGATTTTTATTAATTTGTAAAATATTATAACTGTTGTTTATGTTATATGAAATATCTGAATGATTTAGAAATCCAGCCTTCTACCTAGAAGTTATCTCTTTCTGTATGAAAAACTACTAATGGTTTGTGATCTTCACCAATTCTTAGTTAATTTTCAAATTATCTAGATCTAAGTATTGTGTGCGTGTTGTCATTTTTCTAGCCGAAGCTTCCAGTTGAATTGCCGCATTACATGTTGACTTCCTAATTTTAGCTTATCTCAAAAAATAAGAAAGAAACTTTATTCGTACTTGTCCACCCAGATAAATATCTGCAAACTTGAATGAATTGATGCTCACTAATGAGAAATGTTACTGTTCAACGACTGTTCTCATTTATAAGCAGATTTTGTGTATTGAATAAGTACAACTTAATTTAACAAGTTTTCGTCCAAATTTTAATTACAAGTGCTGAATAATGTGTCCCTTTACTAACAATAATTTAATTTCCTTAAGTTGTATCACATAGTTTTTTCAGGTATTAACGGATTTAATGGGACAATAAAAATCGGGAATAATTAAACATAACAATTATAAAAATATGTTTCTTCAGTGCTTTTAATCTGTTAGGTCAAAACGGTAGTTTTCAGTCCAAACGCCCTGTTATATAATGATGTTAAACTAATATCTTTTCTGTGGGTAACCATTCTGCTTTTGATGCTCACTAGAAGTACAATATATAGCATTTCTGTGCATTTTTCTGCTCATTAGTTTGTCAGTATCATCTTAACTGGGGACTTCGTTTTAATCATCTAAATCCATTTACATATATCTATGGACACGCCACTGTAGCGCATCCCTACTGGCCAGATGAAAAAAGCAAAGAAAGTGAGAGTTTGTGCTCAAAATGAAGTACTCAGTAAAAATTATGATCGTATATCCAACATTCACTTACTAAATGAATGGGAAAGTGCTAGATACTCTACTCATATTGAACACTAAAAGTTAGGTGCTCTACAAGCTCACGGACATATATCCTATCCTTATCTCTTTTATGATATTGACTTAAACTGACTTACAAATAGTGATACTACTTATTAGTGACTTCCATATCGTTGAAATTCGTGATTGACTCGGCTAAACTTCTATTCATTTCTTTCCAAAGCATTTTAAGGACCATGAAATTATGTTCACATATGAAAGAAAAGATATAATTACCTATAAATTTTGCTTAAATCCTTTTCCCTCATCAATCTCGTCATTAAATCGAACTTAAGATGTCGAACTGACTTTCTATGTAGTTATCATCAAATAACATTTATGTATACTATCCATTTTCTGTAATTTAACTGGAGAGTTATATTTGATTCCCCTCCAATCAATTTTGTCATTTTTTTACGTTATTGTATCTATTCCTAGAACAAACTACACTATGCAACTCCTGTAATCAAAAACCAGTCTCAATGCTCTACTACTCCAGGTCAAGTGTTCAATCTGTTAAGACAGTCCACATTGGCTAGTAATCAAGTTTGTATAAATAATCATCAAACTAACACCGATCTACAAACCATCCCTGGGACAACGGGTGTTCCAAACGGAAATGCTCCAACTCCTCCCCCTCCCCCTCCACCACCACCGCCTCCACCTCCTCCTCTACCTATGTTTTTACCAGTATCGTCAAATAATCTGTCAACACCTCATCCATCACTAGAAGAAACAACTTGTCCAAAATATTCCGGTAAGAATTTGATAGTTCTCGATGATCTGTATGTGTGTAAATTCTTCTTTGGTTTAACTATTTAATCATATAGGCTGAACTATATATAATAATTTTTAAAATCGAACCCAGTGTGTATATTTCGGTCCAAAGAACGTTGTATTACTGATAAAAGTATTCAATTATTTTAATCTGATAAGGTAACTCTCTCTGAATGTTAGAGTTAATGTTACTTTTACCCAGCTTTTCAAAATGTAAATATATAGGCTAGAATTCGAACTTGCCATATATTGATTGATTTAAACAATAACCCATCATTTTGTTTTCGATCATTTGTCACAGTTAAAAAGAATTGAATGAGGTCAAAAAATAAAACTTAGAAATGCCAATAAACACAAGATTTATCCGAACAAACAGAATGAATACAAATGCAGTAATGTAATTTATTTTAGATCATTTCTTTGACTTGCTGCAACCATTATACTGGTTTTGACTAGTAGGTTTTTATCTACCGTAGCGTAGTCAAATAGCTTATTTTCTTCGACTAAGGCAAATAAGCTATTTGGCTACGCCTTGACTCTATAATCGATATTTTAAGAGACTCCTTTAATAGAACGATAAATTCAACAAAATTTCGGACAATAATCTTGTTCTTACTGAACATCGAATACATTCATTACTGAAATAATTTATAAGAAGTGCTATAGTGTTACGACATTCCAGAATCGTTAGCCGATCGTTCGGAAGATTAGAACGAAAATCAATTTAAAAAGAATTCTTCAGTAGAGCTACAGTCTGCTAAGTCGCACGTAACATAGAGAATGAAAAAGAACTAGAGAAATCACATTGTTAGGAAAGAGAAAGTTTTGATAACTGTATTTACCAAAGTGAGATATTTTAAGGTTCGATGGCACACTCGTAACTTACTGTAATTTTATAAGGAATTTCGAAGCTTAATTGCCTAGTCCAGACTGCTACTCTCCAATATACCTTTCGTTATCGTAAAGCACTGGAGATTTCGGAGAAATGTTTTGGAACATAGCATGTTGTCAGATGGTATCTTGGTTTCACTTAAAGAATGTGAGCTTAACAGTAGTAGAAGACGCCAATCTCAAACTGTTAATTGAGTGTAACGCATCAGTCACATACAATCCGAAATAGACGATGTTTGTTTTGAAATATTGTATTGCAGAAGTATAATAATTTTGTACCGATTATACAACCTGAACTTAAGCAATATGTTAATCTCACTATTAACTATCCATCCATGTAGTCAAGCTTGTCAAACACTTTTTTAAAAAAAAAAAGATAATTGTCTGCCTTTGTCGTGTGATTTTATTTATTTTTAATATATTCACGTATAATTTGTTCATTCACTTTGTAAATCTGTACAACGGATGGTCATTCATCATCTATGTCTACATCACTTTTAACTACTTTCTACTATCAACTAGTTTGTTTTATGAAGAATGTAGATTCAGCAAAAACATTTTTCCTTTCCGTTCAGACATTTAAATGTAATGCATCAATGACCACTTCTTTTTTCTAGGTTAGAAAAAATAAGGAGAATTATAGACCATTCATAATTACATACTTTTCATACAGACTTAAGCTCTTTTTACAGTATAAGTGTATTTTTCAATATACTTTCTTTTGATTAACTAAATATAAATTGGGAAATATTCACAAAAGTTTTTCATTTATTAAGACGAAAATGAATAATACATAACTATTGACTAGTCACTGAATTAGGGATGGATCATGGTTATGGCCAATAGTGTGCATTGTGTTTATCACGCATGTCGTAATCAGGTTAGAGTTCATTCCCCTATCAACTGTTGATGGCACCATACTTTCAGTATTTCTTCATAAATAGTAGCTTAACAATATTTTCTTGTGACGATTCAATATTGTCACCTATTTTTAAAATAAAAGATGACTTTATCTAGTTCCTGTAATCATAACTTGTTCTTGATTTCACTCATTTGAGAAATGTAACTTGAAGTTAGTCAAATCCAAATTATAACTGTCACACTATATTATGGGTAAAATAAAGTTGAGAAAAGATTGATGCATAGGTCATCTGTAAATCAGTTGATTTGAAATAAGATTTGTAATGATTTGTTTAAAATGACTGTTTGGATGTTGTAATAATTTTGACTTTTCAAGGTAGTTATAAATTAATGCTAATAATCTAGATATTCCTAGAACTATTCACGAGGTTTCAGTGTGTGTGATATTTTTTTCTATAAGTTAACTATCAATTAATTGCTACATTCATTAAAACTACATTTCTTTCTTCTCAATTTCTGTTCAATTTTTTTTAAAGATTACAATGAAACTTTGGCAACTGATTTGGTCTCTGTAGAAACTGCTAATCTTATGTCTGAATTATCTTCACAATTGCAACAACTTGCTGCACGATCGAACGATGTAAACTTTTCACAATCAACATTTAAAACAAGAGATATATTTCACAAGGAATCCATAAAACACGATGATTTCGATTTACCGCCACCACCGCCACCTTCTATGTTTACAGAACAATACTGCAGTGATGTAGTGAAATGTTCTCCGATTCAGACTACGAATATCAGTTGTACTTCCACTACTAGCATTATTGCTAATGATAATAATAATAATAATAATACTGATGAAGTGATTGATGATGATTCCAACAAAAATTTATCACCATTTTTATTGGCGTTAAAACAAAGTGTGAAACAACGAGCTGACCGTATAGCTGCTGAAAACTCAACAAATAATTGAACATGAAATGACGCTAAACTCTTTGATGATGACCATCCTAATGCACTAACATTTTTTGTTATACATATTAGGAATTAATCTTTCAAAGGTAGTAACGACATTCACATGTAGGAATCTATGTATAAAAGTGATGATGTTGAACTACACACATTCTCACTTGCTTTCTAATAAAATCTGTTGATAACGTTCGATATTCATCCTTTCCTCATTGCTTTCATCATTATTATTATTCCCATCATAATCATCAGTACATGTATTTATTTTTATTGACACATTGAAGTAATATGCAGCCACGGTAAGAAGCGAATGTCTCATATGCTTACTACTTTTTTCTTATCATTGTTGTTGTTAGTGTTAGTTTTGATCTTTACCACCCTCCACCGTTTCCATTTTTGCCTAACTCATCTTTTCTACTATTTGTGTAAATATAAATGTTAAGTTATTATTTTGTATGACATTATCACATTACTAACTCTGATAAGTAATGTTTTTTGGACATTTCACATACACCTGGTAGCTATACCCAGTATTATAAACTGATATCAGGCCAGTACTTGTATCTCTGACCGTTACTAGTTACATAACGTCGCTTCTGTGTTTGTCTTTACGAACTCTTTCCTCTTACCAGTGATATGAAGGAAGTGTTTTTCAGAAAAGTAAACCGGTCATTATCAAATACTTCTTACCGATTAACTATTTGACTAACTGTCTCGTTTAACAATTAATCTAGCAATCTGTTCAATTTAAAATCTCGTCAGACAGATTTCTGGACACAAATAGGCACATTCACACATATACACATTCATGTACATTTTGAAATTCATCTCTTATTATCTATTGTTAATAATCCGTTGGAATTTTCCACGTGTTCAAATTTGAAAGAAAGATCTACTATTATCATTACTGAAGCTATTTCCTATGTTTATGCACATGTCCTTTTTCGATTATTTTGTTTTCACTTGAAACATCAGTAAAATGTATGTTGGTGACCGACGGCGTAGGGAATCCTGTACGCCCTTTCTTTGAACAAAAGAAATCAACCGGAAACAAGTGTTTCCAAAAATATTTAGATTCTTATTTCTACTACTACTAATTTTAACGTTAGGATTATTATTACTATTATCATACTTTGGAGTGTTGAGAATTCTGTGTATAATGTATGTGCTGTTAGAAATGTGCTCTGGTATCATTGTTATATTGTTCCGTTGTCTTCATTTATGTCACTGAATGTGATTAAGCCATATACATATATGGTTTACTATCACACCATGTTCTACCCCTACGTCTGTCTTGCTGTCGAACTATGTGGTGTATATCTGTGGTTGCTTCTATACCCGATTCTATACTAGTTTCTTCTTAGGTATACTGATAAATTATATTATATCAAGTTTAGAAAAATTTGTTATTGTTGTTTTCTCTATTTCTATCTTCTGAAAATTATGTATTACATCGTATCATTTCCTTGTTTATCGCTTTGTGAGATTACATTTTTCATTTTTACAAGAAAATCGTATTTGTTAATTGTAGATGGGAAAAGAAAGAAGGATGGGAAGTTTCAGGTGAAAAATAAGGCTCTCACATACATTCTCTTCATTAATGACTCACTGTACTCTAATTACATGTTATATGCAGATATATTTATACACATTACTTGATAATATGTCTTTTTTATACAAAATGTCTTAATGTCCACAAATTGCATTTTATTTATTTGACTTTACTATACATATATATAGAAAAACAAGGAAATATTGTGTAAATTGTTGGAGGTTGTTTTCTTTTCTTTGAAATTCCCTGTCTGCATGTCTATTTTTGTTGGGTTTTTATTATGGAATAACATAATAACACAAGGGCTAATCAATCACTCGTACTAAAGGTAAAATTTGGTAACGTAATTTAAGTGTTTTAATTATAACGGACAAATGATGGTGAATTTTGTATCACTTCAACTTAAATTTTCTTTAGTTGATAGGCTAGATATTAATACTATGATTATATTTCTATTGCATTTGTCAGTAGCAATGTATTGACGTACCCAAGTTATGTATATATTTCACACCTGGTTGGGTTTGGGCACCCGGGCAGTATCACAGCCCTCACACATATCAAATGAGATCTGTTTGGCGCATATGTATTTGGTGGCTCCTTGTACCAATATCTATGTGTTAAAATAAATAAATAAATAACAGATTAAGGATAGATTGAAAACGTCAATAGAGTGGTTTATTTAGATGACAAGTTTAGTTAATAAAGGAAATCACAATCATTTGCAGCACACATACTGGACTAAGTGTTGGAAATGCTCCTTCCCGCTTTCCGAATTTATATGAACATATTTTTGGGCGAGACTATAATTTATGGACGAACCAATCACGTATAAGATAACAGGTCTTGGGTTTTGGCGCGAAATTCAATCATCTATTTGGTTAAGTAGAGTTTTGGCATTATAACTGTTGTTAGTTCGTGATGAAAACCCCAAGTCCTAACCTCAAACATCAACTGTAAATCATAATTCTAATTTCTCACAGGTTTGTAACCCTCATTTGGTAGCGGTTATTAGGTGGACACTCTCAAGGTCAGTCTAGCGTCACTCCAAGGTCATCCATAAATTATAATCACACCCGATTTACAATATTTATTAGACGGAACGAAAATTTGCACATTAATTAAAAACTCCATTTCGCATTTGCAGAGAGTCATTCCAAAGTCACCTCCAGCATGTACTAACTATTACTTTTTAGACATAACATGCAAACAGTAGACAAGCCCGAGATTTATACTACTTAGCACGGAATAATAATCTAGATTATTTCCTTGTACTTCCCTAGTCATCATTGTTTCTCCAGTTGACATCAAAATTTGTCATCTTAGTTCATTTAGATTTTATTGCGAAGCTTGACACTCTGCTCGTAAATTTATCTGATAATCTGCCTCAACTCTCTTTCTGAATGACAATTAACGTACTATTATTTAAATTTCGATACACTGAAAGAAAAATTGTACTTAAATCCAAACAAAGTAACTTGTTCTTACCAGTCTACTGATGATTTTTAATAGTAATGATGTCATCTAGTGTGAAGTACATTCATTACATGAACTTATCTTTGATGATTTTAATCTTCAATCTCTTGTTTTTGTCTACGACAAAATTCCTAAAGAAATAAATGAAACTACTGAAAAACCCACAGATTTCTGCTTAATTACATCTGTCATTAGGCAATATGGTTTCGATATCCAGAAATTAACTGTCATATTCATTTTAATGGTCAGCAATATTTGTAACCTATTTGATCTTATCATTGGTTTATTTTTCTTTAATTTATCCATCATAACCAATGATAACAATAAGAAATCATAAAAATACTTGTGTTAAATGTTACATCTGAAAATATACTGACGCTCTTACTATAGATAACAATTTATAATTTCACAACTGTAAAAAATTTGGTATTAGGCTTCACTAATTCAATATATTAATATTTCATCACACAGTTCTTGTCATTATATGATCTTATCTTTTGAAATTATTTACGTGCTATGACTAGATTCTAAATGTTCTTGTTGTTATTATTATTTTACGAAGCTGGATTCTTCAAAATATTCCAGTAAGGTAAAGGTCCAACAAGAACAAATTTGGACTTTTTCAACATAGGATTCTCGTTTAGTGGATCAGAAGTTAAGATTCCACACATCAGAACGATAGTCGTGGGTTAGAGTCGTTGATGCGCTCTGCTGAGGTGTCCAATAGTGTGACAAATGAAGTCTTGGGCAGGAGAAAATCAATATTATGCGAAATTTCACACTGCATCCGTAAAATATGAAACTTACTTACTTACGCCTGTAACTCCCAATGGAGCATAGGCCGCTGACCAGCGTTCTCCAACCCACTCTGTCCTGGGCCTTCTTTTCTAGTTCCATCCAATTCTTGTTCATTTTTCTCATGTCTATTTCCATTTCCCGGCGTAATGTGTTCTTTGGTCTTCCTCTTTTCCTTTGGCCTTGAGGATTCCCTGGAGGGCTTGTCTTGTGACGCAGTTGGGTGCTTTCCTCAATGTGTGTCCTATCCACTTCCAGCGCTTCTTCCTCCGCTGGGATCTGGTTTGTTCTCTCCCACAGTAGGTTGTTGCTGATAGTGTCTGGCCAACGAATCTGAAGTATTTTGCGTAGACAACTGTTAATAAACACCTGTATTTTCTGAATGATTGCTTTCGTAGTTCTCCAGGTTTCCGCCCCATACAGTAGAACTGTCTTGACATTTGTATTGAAAATTGTGACCTTGGTGTTGGTTGACAGTTGTTTTGAGTTCGAGATGTTGTTCAGTTGTAAATATGCTGCTCTTGCTTTTTCGATCTGCGCCTTCACATCTGCATCAGATCCACCCTGTTAAACAATGAGGCTGCCCAAATATGTAAAGGTTTTTACATCTTCCAAATCTTCTCCGTCAATTGTGATTGGATTGGTGCATGTTGTGTTGTATCGGAAAATCCTGCTTTTCCCTTTGTGTATATTGAGACCTATTGCTGCTGAGGCTGCTGCCACACTGTTCGTCTTCTCCTGCTTTTGTTGTTGCGTTTGGGATAGAAGGGCCAGATCGTCCAACTGCATCTTAGATGTCCATTGTATCCCGTGCTTCCCTTCAGATGTTGACGTCTTCATGATCCAGTCGATCACCTGGATGAAGAGAAAGGGTGAGAGAAAGCAACCTTGCCTAACACCGGTCTTTATTTCGAACGACTTTGTCAACTGTCCTCCATGCACGATTTTGCAGTGTAATCCATCATATGAATTCTGTATGATATTGACTATCTTCTGAGGCACGCCGTAGTGTCGAAGAAGTTTCCATAGTGTTGTTCTGTCCACGCTATCAAATGCCTTTTCGTAGTCAATGAAGTTGATGTAGAGT